ACTCCGATGAGCACATCCATAAAGCTTGACAAAGATGATCAAGGAATCCCCGTTGATTTCACTAAATATCGAGGTATGATCGAATCCCTTCTTTATTTAACTGCAAGTAGACCTGATATTATATTTAGTGTTTGTTTATGTGCTAGATTTCAATAAAATCCTAAAGAATCGCATCTTAAAGCTGTGAAACGAATCTTTCTATATCTAAGTGGCACTCAAACCATAGGACTTTGGTATCCTAAAAATACTCACATTTACCTACTTAGCTATTCGGATGCCGATTGGACCGGATGTCAAAGTGATCGAAAAAAAACTAGCGATACTTGTCACTTTATAGGCTTTGCTCTAGTATCTTGGTTTAGCAAGAAACAAAATTCTGTGGCATTATCTACAGCCGAAGCCGAATATATCTCGGCCACAAGTTGTCGTGCACAAGTGCTATGGACGAAACAAACTCTTGATGATTTTCATTTATGTTACGATCATATTCCCATTATGTATGACAACACTAGTGCCATCAACTTGTCCAAAAATCCCATTTCACACTCTCGAACTAAGCATATCGAAATTAGACATCATTTCCTTAGAGACCATGTTCAAAAGGGTTAAGTTAGAGTTCATCGATACCAACAATCAATTGGCCGACATCTTTACCAAACCTCTTGCACCCGACCGGTTTACCTTTATTAGAAGAGGTTTAGGCATAATCAATGAAAGTAAATCATGCATTTTTCTATAGACTTCATTTCACTTTCAGATGAACCGGACAAGGAACCGGATGTCCGGATCAGAAGCGGACGATCCAGGTTTGCCTCAATCTGCTGAATCGAACGTCCGGATGAGCTGATCTGAGGAGTCCTATATTGCGACTCAGCCCTTCATTCTCCTCACTTTTCACCTTCCTCCTCAAATTCTCTCCCTACATTTTTTTCTCCATAACCTATTTTCACATCTCAAAGTCTCAATTACTCTGAGAATCGACAAAACCCATCACTTCTACATTTCAATTTCTCACAAATACTCACTTTTTCATATCAAAATCCTCATTTTCACCCAAATATTCGAACCCTTGATCACATAAACACACACACACACATACCCCTTCGATTTTCACCAATGGCAAGCACTAGAAGCAAAGGAAAATGACTCAAGATCACGGTACGACGCTCTCCTCCACCCTCTTCCGATGAGGACATGGATTTCGAACTTGAGGTGTCAAGCAACCCTTTCGCAAAATCACCCATTTTCATTGGTAAAAACGTTGATCTTGCTGATTTTACCTTTGAAGCACCTGCATTTCACATTGAAATTTTTTTTGAAAACATAGGTTGGACTTCAATTGTCACACTAGAAGAAAATACATACCCCCGCCTCATGCAAGACTTTTATTACGGCTTAGCTATTTCTCCTTCAAATGTAATAGTTTGCTTCATTAAAAATAAGCGTATTGTTATTAACCAAGCACTCATTCGTGATCTCTTAGAACTTGAAGAATGTAGTACTCAAATATTTTCACAATAAATTCATCCCAAACTTGACGGTTATGTCCGTATCGAGGCTTGTCATCGCGTCACCGGGAAATTTTTTGAAAATATCACCAAAGTTAGCACGCATCAATTATCTCTTCCTTGTAAAGTTTTGCATAATATTATTGCCAATATTATTGTTCCTCGGAAAGGCCACCGAGATGAAGTAAGCGCTTTTGATCTCTTCCTTCTTGATTCCCTTCTTGTCGGGAGGAAACTTGACTTTCCAACCATTGCAATAGGCCTCATGAAGCCAGTTCACTCCACACGAGCCATCAAGGCCTTACCATATGGCATGCTTCTTACCAAAGTTTTGAAACATTTTAATATTGCATTAGATGATGAGGCATGCATATCACCAAAACCCACTGACACCATCAACATTCAAACACTTAAACGCATGAAAATAGTAAAAGAACACTGTCAATGGGTGGCACACACGAAAGGGTTC